AGTATATGATATAAAATGAGCGAGGGATGTAGAAGCAATAGATAAAAGGTGAGAGGCTTTTAGCAGCATTTTGTCAAGGAATCAGGCAATATTTATCTATATAATTAAATTCATGGAGAGAGTGACTACCTCAGATTAAGAGGATTTGAGCAGAGGAGCTGTGGTATTTAACCAGATAAAGTGCTTAAGAGCAGCATTAAACAGGCACCTAGAGGTGGCGCATTAACATCAAACAAAGATCAATACCTCATTCTACCGTTCCCCCACAAAGTTAATTTCAACCTACAGCCCCCTGCTAATATTTGAATTCCCTTTTCAAATCTAAATTAGCACGTCCAGAAAATGATTGCTGGTTGATGAAGTGTTCTCGGCCTATTTCAGCGTAATTACGGTGGTTCTAATGTGCAATTATCAGTATGGCCCGCTGGAAAAAAAATGAGACAGTTTAGATGTTAAATACCACCATTAACATTTGGCTATAAATGTTAAATGCTGTCATTAACATTTGACTATAAGATGGAATGAAGTTATCTCAATGTTTTCTTGGCTGTTAAAGCTACTATTACAGCAGACCACGCTCGCCAAGGAGATTGACAAGAGAGTGGCAGGACATGGCAGAGAAGGGAGAAATTACAGGAATGATGATGAAAAGAAAGAGAGAAGGTTATACCGAAAGCAGGGGAGAGGTGAGAGGAGGAAAGCAAAAGGAAAGAGGAAAAGGTTTTGGAGAGACACTTGAGCAGCAAAATGGGGGCAAACAGAGAGAGAGTTCAACTTGTGCCTTTTAAAAGACAAATTCACATCCAGTTGACAGATTATTATGGTCCCTACTTGACGTCAGAGTCATTGCAGAGTTCAGCTGCACATCTCTGCTGATATTTGCACATAAGCATGCAGCCAATTAGGCTATGCCTAATCCACCCTGTGGGGAATGCCCATCAAAACTTTTTCTCCAGCTCCATAACAGCAACAAGACAGATTCGATTGTTGACTGACTCAGTTGGATCATAGATCATCAGGTGAATCACCAACACTTCAAATTTGTTGGACTTGCGTCCCGGCTGCCACCGGGACGCAAGTCAAAGTGTGAGGACTGGCGGACTGCAGCACTATGAATATTTCCATTGCAACACCCATCTGGAGCATCCTTTTGCTTATTCACAAAATGATAACTTTCCCCCCCCAACTCATACCTACCACTGCTGCTTGCCTAGCTGGAGAAAAGACACGACTCCATGCTGCTATTGAAGACCAAATACTGGAGGCTTGCGCTGATCAGCTTGTATAAAGAGCACTTGCTGCTTTTCTATTAGCCTTTGTGTGTGTGTGGAAAACCAAGTTGCCATTGCAAAGGAGGCTTTTAACATGACTGGCCTCATTATTTTTTTTATTTTAAGAAACGGCACAGTTACGGTCCAATAATAGTGGAGCTGACTGGTCAAACTGACATCCAGTGCATGGTATGTTTTTTCTGCTCTTTTTGACGGGATGTCGAAGCAACATCAGTTAATGTGATTTTCTATTTCTTGATTATAGATACCAAATAATATCCTCAACACTCAGATGTTCGGCCTCATAAACTCTGGTGAAAATACTGGTGAATCATTCATCTGCTTGTATTGGCTTGGTGGCTCAGAGTGCAGACTGAACACACATGGGTCAACATTAGCAGAGCTGTTCAACTTAGATGCTTTTGATTGAAAGTGAGGTTTTAGTGTAGTAAAGAGTTGCTCAACTTAGGCTAGTCTTACTCCTCTCCAGCAGCGGGGTTAAGGAAACAATATTTGTCACTTGTTGATGACAAAAAAAACATCCAGAGCATAGTGAAGTCTGTTGCTGAGACCATCAGGTTTGTGCTTGTGCCTCCCTGGCCTCTAACCCAGAGCAGTCTGTTAGAGCAACCCTGCTGAGCTCGGTGTCAAAGCTCCCATCTCTGGCCTCTCCCCAACTTCATGACATGCTAATTGTCTACTTTGCACATTGTTATACACCTGGGAGTAGTAAGATTAAATGTCAGTGCAGGACTGTTGCTTCCTCCCGTTGCTGTTGGCCCCATTCAGTGTCCAGCCATAGTAGGGCGCAACACGGGAAGTGGAGGCATCACCGTAATGGGATTAAATGGCTGCCATATGTGAACATTCCTGTCAATGCCAGCCCCAGTATGGGTGATCAGCCAAGATGGGACTAACTGGCAGCAGCGAGGGCCAAGGAGGCATGTGGGTGTTTGGTGTCCTCTATATCCCAGCTGGCCATCTGGCTTCCGATAGAGCATTTTTTGAGTTTGTTATAACTACTTTGTGATGGACGAGACACTTCACTGGCTACTTTCTTCAGTTTTGCCCTCATTCAGCACTGAGAGGCTTCTCCTGGCGAATACCAGGTGAACAAGGGTCACTGATGCTGACTCAAGAGAAATTAAATATTTAAAGCCAATTCTCACTCAGAATAAAAGCCAACAGGTGCTCTGCAGATTTACAAATACATATTTGACCTACAGGCATATTATACATTAATTGTCGCTTCCGGTTTTGTAAACTGGACATTAAAAACTAGCCCGTGTTTTCCCCGCTCAACGACACCAGAAGAGCAAATCCCCTGACCGTGGTTGCCAGCCCAGTGTACCACCGGCAGCAAAAGTGACAGCCAACCCCTGATTCACTCAAGTTTTATAGTGAGGGTGCGTTTTTTCGGGGCCGTGTACAACATTTTGTTAGCTCTATGCGTGCTTGTGCATGCATGGGGACCCCGTGCCCTTAGGCTGAAACCCAGGAACATACCGAACGTGCAGCAAAAAAAGAAAATACAGGCACAGGGCATGTTCCATGCAGATACATTCAACACTATACATTGTATACATTGTTTTTCAGGAAACACTGCATTGTATATCTTTAAAATAAACAATGAACAACATGACAACCAGCCGGTCTGACTCCACCAACTTGTCATTGTTTTCATATATACCAGAGATGTGGGAGCCACATCACACATATATTATGATATTGGTAAACGTAGAATACCACAGTGAATTTGCTATTGGACAATGATAGATATTCGTCCTCTACAAACAGCCAAAACCTGTCCTTTGAGTCGTTAGTCAAGTAGTGTTCAGTCCGACTTTAGTTTTGTCGTCAGGTCTGTTTACCGTGTCAAATCTTTACATCGCTTGCTCTGACGGTCACTATTATTCTGACTACTCAGCTCCTGAAAAACTACTGAGCTGGAAAGCACGTTGTGTCATTATGACAAGTTGAGTTGTCATGCAACCGCAGCGGCTCAAGTTTTCAATATGGTGTTTTTAATATTTCTTGCTGTTTGCTTCTGTTTTGATGCATTTAAAAAAACGTAATATAAAGCAAAGTTATTGTAAATGTCACCGGTTTGTTTTAACTTGGTGAAATGTCATTAAAAATGCACAATAAATGAACACGTCTGAAAAAGTCTTTGTGAAGCCGTGCTGCAGGCTGCTGGAACGGGTCCAACTGTATGATTGGCTTTATGTTCCAGCAGTGCCTACAGACCCAAGAAATGAGCACAACATTTCCACTGTCATATCAATTTCCTGCAATGTGTTGGAATGTGTTCACGGGAAAGAAACTGTGCAGCCTTCACAATTAAATTTGGCTGATTTATCTTCAATTTGTCTTCAAGTTGATCAAATTCTTACAGGAGGAGTAAAAGATTTTCTACTCTGGCACTTCAGTCAACTGAGCATTATAGAAATACAAAACATTTCCTCCCAAAAGCTCCAAAGCCAGCCATGATATACATTTAAGTTTAGACAACAAAACTACTTTGTTGGGTTTCGTAAAAGATTGTGTTATTGGTTACAATAAGCACACTACTTTTGGTTTCACATGTGACGCGAACGCTATACTCCTGAGGGAAGATCCTGTGTTAACTTTGATTAAATGACTAATTTAATATTTGTGATGCGTGAATAGAGGTAAAGACTGCCTCCTGCACTGAGGGAGAAATGCATCACTGCAGCCAGCAGAAGAGAACTGTTCACATTTCAGTAGATGGACTTTGCCATTTCTACATCTGTTCCCAACATTTCACTGGCCCGAAGGTGCTTTTTGACAGTTGATGTCAACAACTGACTGAATGCGTAAAGTTTAAAGCTGCACAAGGCTAAGCGTTTTATGAACAGCCGGCACCCCAAACCCCTCATTGTTCATGCTTAGAAACACAACTGTGATCAAACGGAAAAGGTCACAGCTGAAGAGGGTAGAGATGAAGGTTCTGTCGTGTGACTGATGTAATGAATAAAAGCAAAGGAGACATAAAGAGATAAAAAAGGAGACTGAAAACTCCAGAACGTCCGTCTCTAAAGATGACAGCGTTTGAAGGTAATTTATCTGACTTATTTAGTATCTAACTGCCATGAAGCTATCAGCATATGACGTTTTGTTTCTTGTGTTCACTTGCTAGTCTTTTAACCGCTGCCCGCTCATTCTCACTCTCCGTTTCTCTCAAGATTTCAGCTTGTGCACACTCTTCCTATATCGCTGTTTTTTTTTACTAGTTGGAAAGCCAACACCAAAGTTACAACAAAGAGGTTTAGGAACGTTAAAACTTTTAAAAAACGTAAATAAACATCACGAAGTTAAGCTGCATATTAACAAAATGAATTGGCAGGACACAGACAGAGTGAAGAGAATTCACCAACAATGACTGATCATCATCAATGTCCCGACCAATTGTATACCCTAGAAGTTTATGGTATATATGTCAAATAATTTTCCAGCTATATTAGATTCAGCGTGAGCAATGGATTCTGGGTAATAAAGTCCATGTCCTTTGTCTAAAGCTTTCTAGTGATGCTTTAAATGTGAAAAACTGACACAAAGTGCAGCAACAATTAAAGTATGTATCATTGCCAATGAATGGATCAGTGCAGTGATTATTCATGACAATAAATCCATCTTGAAATGTGCCACCACTATGGGTGGTAAAATATGTAAGATTGACAATGAACATAGCAATGAATGATTCCTCACCTTCTCTCCTGTTGACCTTAGCAAAGACCGGCCCATGGCTGCTGGTTAGCTGGGAGGAGCTTCTGAATGATGACGGTGGCAGATTGGCTACCAGTGGGCTGTCACATACCTCTGTTAACCAATCACAAAGCAGAAAAGACAGTTTAGAATCATGGATAGTTTCATTGAACCTATGGAGCGATACGTTACAGTAAGTTATTTCAATATAACGGTGAAAAGCAGACTGAAGGAAGTGAGGAAGTTTTCTTCTGATGGAAAGGTTAAACTTGAGGCCCTCTTGAGTATCCTTAACAGATAAGTGTAGGTTGCTACAGATAATGGGGTCACACAAAGCGGGAACATGAATAAGACAACTTTGTTTCAGCGGTAGTCAGTGGAGACCTTTTCATGCCTCCTACACTTCGATGTTTAAAAATGTCAAGGGTAGGGTTAAGTTGACTCTGAATAAATGACCCATGAACAGTAAGTATATGACGTGTGTACATATTATGCTGATGCACCGACAAATAACGCCATGACAACAGTCTCAAAGAAGAAATATCAAAATGAAGGCTACAAGTGTGCCGATGTTAAATATCATAAAACAGAATCTCTGTACAGTATCGAGTGTGCTTTCGAGTGGTATAGTTAATATTTTGATTATCAATTGGTATGCCTTTGTTGCTGTACTTTATTGCTATAAGAGCCACTTCTCAATGGAAAGTAGGAGGCCACCTTTCCAGTGGAAGATCTCTGTCATCCAGTATCTACCGCACTGAAATGTCCTTTAGAAAGAAACCACTTTGAGGACTGTTGTTCTGCATCTGACAAAAGCAGTAGTCATGAAACAGGAGCGTTGGCTTGTTTCGTCATGTATCCACGGAGAAGCAGTTTCCCCAGAATACCTGATTATCAAGTAATTATCAAACGTTCACCGTTTCCACGATTACCGCGAAAGCGCAATCTAGAATCTTCTTTTAATGGATTTTGTTTTCCACCACTGAGTAGAGAGACAGTTAAAATTATTCACAACCCATTTAGAAGTGTCAGGTCCCGTCTCCCTCCTCTGACAACAAGGCTTCAGCTGAGATTACTTTGTCAACAATATTGGACTTCATTTCAAGCACAGAGAGAGTTTCACTGCCTGAGACTAGAAACCACAGACTGTTGACAGTTTTGAATATCCACCCAAGTCTACCCAGTGGAACCCTCTCCTCTCTGCAGACACTTCAGTCTGTGCATTTCCATCCAAGTTCATCATTTGCTGAATCTTCAGACAGAAAAGAATCTGAAGCAATCTCATGTTTCTCTTTTTTTTATATATATATATATATATACATATATATATACACATACATATACATATATATATATATATATATATACATATATACACATACATATACATATATATATATATATATATACATACATATATACACATATATATACATACATATATA